TCTGGATAGATCTATTCGAAGTGGATGCACTACAATTCTCTTGCGCTCGAAGCTCACTATTAAAATATTCCATGACTTTATCAAGTGTCCAGAACTCCTCGCCAAATTTTCTGGAAATAATCATGGTAATTTCGTCAGGCAATCTATCTTTTAAGATTGGAATTAGCAATGAGCCGTAACCAGATGTGTCAAGTTTAAGGGATTTCAAATTTCTTACACAACTCTCTACATGATTATAAAGCATCCTTAGCTCTTTAATATTATCCCTAGATGCTATCTTACTGATCCTCAATGTGAGCAGATATTAAAATTTGTTCATTTCCAAACCTGCCTTTCAAAATTTCTATTGCTTTCTGATAGTTTTCTGAGTTCAAAGTTAAACCTGATACAGCAGATAAACTTTCCCCTTTCAAACATCCCTTTAGGTAATTAAATTTGTCTATGTCACTTATATGTGTGTTACTATGAATTGCTACTTGGAATTGGTCCCAAAACCCTTGCCATGCCAGTGGGTCTCCTGAAAACTCTGGTAATTGCATTTTAGGTAATCTACAATGCACTGTGCTGCCCTGCGCCTGAACGTTATTACCATCTGAAGCGCCTAAGGTATTTATTGGCTTTGTACTTTGATTAAACGCAGCTAGCCTTAAGTCTACTTTCGCCAAAACATGATAGCTGGGTTCTAACGCTTTCATATGTTCGACAACTGCAGCCTCTGTCTTTTGGATCAAGCATGTTAATAATTTCATTATGAAGAACAGCCAATTGTTCAAGAATACTCAAAACAGTATTTCTCAACCCCAAAAGTTTTGCTTGCTCACAGTCTTCAGAAGAAACATATTGGTCTAGTTCTTGTAAAAGAATTTTTAAATAAGCTGAAAGACCGGCGAGTCTACCTTTAACTTTGCCTAAATCAGTCGCCATCCTAACCTACTATATACCGAGCACGTGGTCACTAGACAAGACGACAATTAAACAACAAATATACACTAAAAACACAAACAATTACAACGCAAAATATACGCAAGTGAGAAAGAAGCCTAAGGTTAATTTCGACCGAATAAATAAAGAAGTTACCTCTACCAAGACAACAGATCTGCAACCTTTCACCGAGAAGAACGAGGTTGCGAGAATGACACTTGAAGGGCACTATTAACAACAATGTTCGCTGTCGCCGTCTGAATATTTCACCGCCGCTATAGACTTATAGATCTTTAACTGATTAGATTGTTCAAGTGTCCCATATCGGGCTCCATTTAAAAAGCAAGACCTTGATTTTTATAAAGTTTTATTTAAATTATGTGTGACATAAATTTGCACACCTGTGCGTCTCTCTCTGACATACAACACTGAGCTATTGTTCAAGCGTTCAGCGACGAATCACACAAGGTGATTCACACGACTATAATTAACCAATTACAATACGGACTATATACAAACAAAACATGAAGTAATTCACTTATAACATATAACTTATAACAAAAATATATATACACACATGAAACAAAAATAAAGTTTTTAAAAATTTTGGGTTGAGTCTAAATAAACACAATCAACCACACTACGTACGGCTGTAAAAGAAATACCTAGAACATTTGTTACCCTCAATATTTGTGAGAAATATGTTGTATTTTCAAAAGATTCTGCCTCACCAAGACTGGCCATCGATGACTATAAATATAATATCACAGAGATTCTCAGAGACCATCACCAGTGTTTCCACTCTCCAAAAGGTCAGGGCCTTTCAGAAGGGGGGGGGGGCACTGGGGGCAATTTGTGCTGCCCCCTCAGTTCAAGGGGGACCCCAAATTTTAAAAATTAAAAAAATAATTTCGAACGTTTTTTGCTATAATGGTATGAGAAAAAAATTTCTAAACCAAAATTTTACATTTATTGATGGCAAAAAAAGGGTCTGACCCATATGTTGTAATAGGAATTTTTTGCGGAAAAAGTTTTTTGAACCTTAGTTTAACTGGTGTTCGACCAGAAATTTTTTTTTACCCTTTTTTAATGTCATGCGGAAAAAAGTTTTCACTCCCTCCCCCGCTCGCCAACCTTTTTAAGTTAAGATAGGGCCCCCGAAACAAAAATTTGTCCCGGGCCTCCGAATTTCTCTGATAGGCCCTGATTATCGTAATTGCCATTTTATATGGAAATAATTATAAGTCGATGGCATTACGATGTCATGTTAGCAATGTTAGTATGGCCACGGTTGTCAGTGACGAAGTAATTATTGAAGACAATAAATATTATTATAAAACCCCTGTCGCAAATATTGATTTTTAAGGTTCGGCCTTTGCATAGCCTGCTCGTCTTCCGAGGGGGCTGCGGCGGCGTTCAAAAGCATACTAGATTTTGAAATTAGGCGGTCTCACAAACTATTAATCAAATATGATCTTTTGAAGCCCAAGGTTGTGACTATTTCCACAAAAGTGGCTTTATTGGCCTTTACGCGTTGCCGGAACAAACACATCCGCTATGTGGAACAGAAGGTGACGATGGATGTGCCAAATCCCATATCAAATGGCATGCATGCTTTAAAACAATTCATGTCAACCGGATAGCAATCGCAATGCGGCCAATGCCAATAAATGGCAATTTTAATTCAGCTATAATTTGTAATTGTGAAACATAATGATCTATAGTTAAATTAATTAAACAGTAAGCATACAAATAAATGTGAAACAGAGTTTCATATCTTATAAGTTACAAAATTAATTCACCTACTGTATAATAATTTTAACATTCAGCACTGAAATGAACTCTGAACAACATGTGTCTTAATTATGCGGTTTAATTAGTTACACTCATAAGGGCATTCTTCGCTACACTGTTCATAATTGCGATTAACGTAACTGGCAACCGACGCGCTTAAAAGTATTTCGCTTCTCAGACGATTCCTTACTAAAGAAACACCAGTCCTGAAATAGTTTTAAATAAATGCGTATGTTCATAGTCGCATACAGAACTATCAGAATAAACCAACTGATTATTGTATATTGAATATCTTATATTTCATTAAAAAATAAGTGAATGTTTAATCAATGTTTGTAAATCGGATAAAGATTCGGTCTTGATTTACATAAACTTTAGCTTCGACTTTTGCGCCTTAGACAATGTTTATTTTTAAAAATACTTCGTCAATGAACTCATAAGTTGGGTCGTTATTTAAGCACTTGTATATCAGATAAAGATCGACTGCTCATGTTTTAACTAGTACTTAATAGGCCCAGTAAACTGTAACTATCAAATGGCATACAAATAATTTACACATTGTATATATGCCTCACAATTATACATCCAATGCACAATTCAAATGTCCATTGGACATATGCGTATCCCATTGGATCCAATGGACAACTCTAATGTCCACTGGACACATCTATGTCCATTGGATCCAATGGACAAAATCAAATGTCCACTGGACATATCTATATCCATTGGATCCAATGGACAACTGAAATGTCCAATGGACGTATGCATGTCCAATGGATCCATTGGATCCATTGGACATACTCCCTTTGCTATCTCACAGGCCTGCTGCCTGCATGGGGTCGATGTCAACCTATGACGTCATTCCTGTTAACTTACTTAATGCACAACCAAATGTCCAGTGGACTTATGCCTGTCCATTGGATCCAATGGACAAATGAAATGTCCACTGGACATTTCAATATGTCCATTGGACATCTTGCAGAGGTATTGGACATTAATCAGCTTGGCTGCCGTGCTATTGTCTTCTAATTCTCAAGGGATTGATTGCAAGTCAAAAATGGACATTTTTCAGCTTAAATTACCTATAAGCATTGTGGAAATGGAAGAGATGAGATTGCACGTGTATTATCACTATTATGTATAAAGTAAATTTGTCTCGGTCTTCAAGCTATAAAATATTGTATACACAGTATTTACTGTATTATTTGTAATACGTACATACCTTTTGCCACGTAGTTTATCCTGAAATGCCACGTTAAGTTGCCGATAAACATCTTCGGTCCAACTTTGGCAAAAATCAAACGAACTGATCACTTGCCTTTCCCTTAAAAGTTCGGCTTTCTTTTTTCCTGTTACCACAGTTTCTGCACTAGGGCTGCTTAACAAAACGACTTCCGTTGTAAAAGCATTATTTGCCTTCCACTTTGGCGCGGCAGATGCAGATGAGGCACTTGAACTTCAGCGACCTCGTGACGTCCTACAGTTTTGAGATCTTGCTGTATAATGGGCTATCCCAGGCAGAAAAGAAGTAACGGTGCCGCTACCTTGCTGTTGCTGACCAGTAGACGCCCCACGCCGAAAAATAGCATTAAATTCTACCATGGGATTCGTATAAGTAGTTCGGCTACGGTTGTTGGAAGCGCTTGCCGTCATTGCCGAGTTGCCGGCTACATTTGTTGGGTTGGGTTGACTCTGATTCTGAGAGATACTGGACGCCTCGGTTGGTGTCAAATTTGTGGTATGGTTTGAGCTTTCGATAACATCTGCAACAAGCGACCGAAACTGAGGACTGTTTACCACATTTTGAACAACAGATTCGACATCTCCATGTGTGTCGGACATAATTGCCAAAATCGAAGCGAAGGCGCGAAGCATCAACAATGAATATGTCGTCCAATTAATGGTCCAATGTAATGTCCCCCCCGGAATATAAAATAGCCTTCCATCCACAATATGGGTCATAAGATGAAGTAATTCCGAACGCTAAATTGTAACCTATATCACGAGCTGCATTGTGGATTGTGATCTATATCACAAGTTGTGATATAAACCATGATTTGTAACCTATATCACGAGCTGAATTGTGATCTATATCACGAGTTGTGATATAGACCATGATTTGTGATGTATATCATGCGCTTTCAATATTTAAATATTTGGAAGAGTAACCTATTCATCACGAGTTATACTGTATATATTTGCAGTAATATATATCACACAACTATGATCTATTTTGTCACATCTGGTGCCTCATACACAGTCCATAACATTATAGAAAAATTTATCGAGCATGAAGGTAATCTAAAACCAACACAGCCAGAACAATTTCGAAGTGCTCGAACGGATGATGTGATTACATACATTGAGTATACCAAAACGATGAAGCCGAGGACTTATGCGGTTGAAATTCGAAAGGGACTTGGGGAGAATAGAGTTTGCTTACCGCAAAATGTGCCAAGTGCAAGTTCAATAAGCAGGGTATTAAAAGACAACCTTGGGTATACAAGAAAGAAACTTACTATAGTCGCGCAAGAATCTCTCAGACCCGCTACCACAGAACGCTTGACACAGTTTTTGGCGGAATGCAGTACTATTGATCCTAACACGATCCATTTTTTCGACGAGTGCTCAGTTGTTCGAACTACTGGCAATAGAGTTGTGGTCGTGCTCCTCTTGGAAAGAAAGCAATTGAGATTAAAAAATATGCATCGAACGCGACTTTTACTGTTAATTACTAATAGATTGAATTTCTCATGTTGATATATTACAAGGAGCGTCGAACGGACTCGAACTGTTAAACTTTTTTACTGAAGCAGTACAGCAACGTGACCTATTTGACAATCCAGTAATAAAGCATGGTGATATAATTATTATGGATAATTGTGGGTTTCATCATGGCGTTCACACTGAGCCCATACTAAGAAATATTATTGCGGAGTGTGGAGTAAGATTAATATTTCAACCTCCGTACCATCCACAACTCAATGTTTGTGAATTGTGGTTCCACAGCTTGAAATGTTGGCCAAGAAAATACTCTCGTTTTACCGAACAGTACACGGAGATTGCCACACTGTCTGGACTGAGCAATATTCCAGCAGGCACATCGAGAGCGTTCTTTAAGTACTGTGGATATATTTTGTAACATAAAGACAAAGTGTGGGTTTCATAAAACATTTTTTTTAATATGCAAGTTTTATATCAGTCCGAAATTAAAAGTGTTTACCTGTAATATATTTCAACCTTCAGATGTGTGTATACTGTGTTTCCCTGCAATATATTTATTGCAAAAATTTGGTCACAACAATTTGGTCACAATAATTTAACAGACATCATATGTATTTATAGCGCAAGCAGGTTCGGCACACAATGCAATTATGCTTTGATCACTTCAAGTTGCATGCACAAAATAAACTCCCTTGGCCTTGAAACAACCTCGAATGGCTTTTGAGATACTAATGTACACTCGACTCTTTTGATCTGATATTGTTGACTTTTGTCTTTATATCAAAACAAGCTAGTTAGCGTAATTTTAATTTGTCTTACCTGTAGCATACTTGAATGAAATACAGTATATTTGCTGTATACAGAAATGCAGCGTTGGCCATTGCTTTATATGCCACTACAAGAATGCTATAAACTTAATAAGCTACTATAATTAGGCCTCTTGTACCATAATATTAAGTACTATATAGGCCTCTTGAACAGTAAAAGAACACAACTGCACTAGTTCTAAATAGTCTAGAAGTACTCTAGATGAACAAAATCGCAATGTATATTACATTATTAAAGTCACACAACTTTAATATTGTTGCTTTTCAACAATTTTATCTGAAGCCACATTCACAAGAGCTTCAAATTTGCCCCAGTCACCACCCCTCGTCACTTAACTTTGTTTTTGGACGGTCTTATTTTCAGTTGCATGTGACAAAGATGTTATGATACTTCGCTGTGTTTCAAAATTGTTGATGCAGGGCTCTTGTTGACATCGGGTTTGTAATTGTTTCGGAACAAGGCATTGACGATAGATTTGGAAAAGCCGGCATATATGTATGTTGATTAGATTGCAATGCATAACCGTACGGGTAGAACGAACAAGGGGGAATTGCTTGCATATTTAGGTCAAACATAGGTGCAGGGTACGTAGAGCCAATCGGCATATATGGTGCGTGTAGCTGATCTCCCGTATTATTTTGACCACCAATATAATTCCTCGCAAACAGGCTATTTGATTTGACATTGTGATGCCCGCCCGTATCCATGTCGTTACTAGAAGATGATGATTTTCTTCATCTTTTACGCTTCTTTTTGCTTTTCTTGCTGTGTTTTTCCGTTTTCGATCTTTTACACATAAACTGGAGGTCTTGTTGGAGATTTCTTCAGGTTGGGTGTTGTTATTGGTGTATAAATCGTCAAAATTGCTTTCCATCTCCTCATCGCTTGAAAATGAGGCATTTACTTCATCTTTCATATCTCTTTTGCATTTTTTGAGCAGAATTCGTAGTTGTTCAGCGTCATTAGCCATAACATCGGGAATTTTACCATCCAATGCAGTTCTGAGAATTCTTACGTCTCTCAAAAGTTTTGCCTGGTTAATTTTATAGAAACTGTCCATCCCAAACATACGTGGAGTTAGATTTTTCATAAAGTGATACTCACTCTTGGTTGAAAAATTTTCCATCGACGCTACTTGGGTATCAAGGTCGTTTATCGCTGCCTTTCGTTTACTTAGTTCCATTTTCATGGCATTAAGTTTCTGGAAATACTCAGGGTGCTTCTCTTTTACCCCGCAGTACGTATAATCTGTACATTTTGTCAGACGACAAGGATTCGTGCCTTGGTTTCTGTGTCCTTTGTGGTGACAATGGCCACAAACCACTTTTAATTTTCCCACAGCTTCCAGTGGTCGCACAACAATGTCCATTGAATCTATATTCATTTGAAGCTCTCTGCATTCAGTGCATTGGTTTTCCATTTTATCTTTCAGGACATCAGCCTGTGATTGTAATGCCGATAAGACATTCTGTAAAAGTATACATAGGAAAGGTTTATGGAAACCCTGCTTGCATTATATTTGTATAATTTGTTCATGTGTAGTACTGAACCTTGCTGGGGTTTTTTAAATTTCAAATAGTCAACTTAATTACTTACTTTACGAGCTTGAGATGATTCTTCTTCGTTCTTTTGAATCTTTTTCCTCGTGTTTGCGATCGGTTGTAAAGGGGAATTCTCGCGAAGAACTCCCAATTTATAAAGAAGTAAACTTTTGGCGCCCAAAAATAACTCTGTTTGAAACATAACATCGATCTGTTCCCTTGTTAACAACTTTAATTGTGGTCTTGTGTTAAAGCTGTTGGCTTTTAATGTTTGAAACACTTTCGCACTGGTTGTATCATCCAACTTCCCTTTAAATGTGAGCATCCAATCCGATAACTCGTCCATTTTAGATAGTAATACATATGCACACGCTTATTTTGTAAATCGTATTTACGAAATTCATTCGGAAGTTCGTTCCGAAGTTCACACACAACTTCCCAAATAAAGAATGTACTCCGGAAGTTCCGAATGAACTTCGGAATCTTACGGTGAAAAGTCAGCTGAAATTGACTGTAAACCATTGCATTGCAAATAACAGGAGGTTATATTACTAAAACTTGAAATATTTAAACAAACTCTTCTCTCAGTGGTATCTATCCTCGTCTTGTGATGTATATTGTACAAATAAACAATATAATAGTTAAAGATATAAAATGAAGGGGGGAAAACAACTTGTATGTGCAAATGTTGATTGTTTCATGATGGACGACTTCCAAATTAGACTTTTTTTTAACTTCTTTGTTTACATTCATAAGCAGAAGTTGCATGACATACGAACACATGCATCTTTATTTATAGCATCAGCCTAAAATATCTTGTTCTTGCAGTTCAAATGTTTCACATGTGACAGGTAACCTGTTTTTCTCCGTTGGGAATTCTATTTTGCTTTTTACACGTGTATGATATCAATTACTCTCCAGATACATTACTATACATCTAATCACGATCTAATGTGAGCCATACTCTTGGAGAGTGGATTTTCGCAATGGAAACATGTTGCTCCCTTTCTAACCTGGGAAATATTGTATGCAGCGAAAGTCGTGGGATGAGTACCAATGTAAATTTGCTTGAGTGCACAGAGGATATCCATAATCTGGTCAGTTGCCATCTTTCGAAATCTAGTTTAAAAGAGTACGAATTTATCCTGGCGAGAGCTGGATTATTTCACCTGGAGAATGAGCAACTGAAGAGTATGGTAGTTTTCCCAAATCATCGAAACATTCTTGGTCGATTTTGGAGACCCTTCGTTCCTGTCAATGTCCCGCACATGCAGGGAAAAAACGCTGTTACAAAGGGAGAAATGTTGTTAATCTTCAGCTATCCGAGGAAGTGCACAAACTGTTTGGAACAGTTGTTCAGATTGGATGCGTTGAAAGAAGCTAAAAATAGTCTAACTAGTCCAGTCTAATACAAGTCGCTCGTCACAATTTTTGTCTGATATATCTTTAACAAGAATATATATTGTAGAAAATATATCACAAGAGCGACAAGACGAGGATAGGTGTCACTTGAGAGAAGCGTTTGTTTAAATATTTTGAGTTTTAGCCGAATGGTGGGCTTATTAACAGGTGGGAAATTTGTCGCCGCTGACCAAAAAATTGCGGGCAGAAACAAAGCTCATTACATTTACATTCAAAACAAAGCAGACAGTTAGCAAGAAGCTGTTTTAGCGGATGATTTTTTGCTTTCCATTCAACGATTTGCAAATTATTGGTTATTCTTTTAAAAGTCGATCATGAATTCTTTGTTTTGGGATGATTGTTTTGTAATCGAGTGATTGGAAGAAATTAATATGGCGACGTGAACATGGGAGTAAATACCGTATACGGTCGATCCATGGCTTGTTTAAAACCGTAATAAACGAAGAAAGACGTGATTTGAGAATGAAATGTAAGTTGAAATTAACTTTATATGCCTCAAATTTTCCATCCTATGTTTCATAATGTAACTTCGGCTGTCTAAGTTCAAAATACAAGCTCGCGAAATTTGACAAATTTTGAAAATATGTAAAAATAGCTTGACTTTGAACTGTAGTTTCTCAAAAATAGCCCCTGGCCTCAATTTCAAATATAGCTAAATGAAAAGAAAAAACTTTTCGGCGTTTGTAGGTATCAAACATATCGTCAAGAAAATAGGGGCTCACAATGTTTTAGTTCAGTCTTTGAGACCCAGTTGCTTCGCACGTGTTGTGGTCAAATTTTTGCCAAGAATCAAAGGCCGAAATGTGAATTTCCTTCATGAAAACCGCTTCGAGAAGGGTCTAGTTTGAAAATTTAGCTATTAATTTCATGAGCATATTTTGGTTACACGTTAAGTATTTTTGTGCTTGATGAGATTCAAAATTTGTTGTATATTCAAGCCCGGCTTTTGTGTAATTTTGGTGATGACCGGAACAGAAATAAATATATTTTAAAAACTGGCCGTGGCCTCACGATAAAACTTTCTACAAATGTTCTCTGTTTCATGTACTTTTATTTGATATCTTAGGTATAAGCGTAAAAATAGGGGCTCATACAGTTTAAGAGGTTGTAAAATGCATGACTTGCCTCTATTTTCATGTAAACATTCGAAATTCTTCGACAGCAAAGTAGCAACTGTTTCAGATCGAATGTACACGGACAGCCCACCAGAGACAATGGCAGGGTACTGAAATAGAACGTCACTAAAAAATTATGTATGATTAATTTAGATCATGTCTACTCTTTCAACATAAAACAGTCATTTATTTTGTACAAACATTTGGCAATATTTACACGATTGTGCCTTTTTGTAAACACACGTTGCGTGTACTCCACGCAACTGTGTGGCTCATTTTACTCGCGCATGCTCAGGCAAATTTCCCACCTGTTGGGCTTATTAATTAAAGATGCTTCTCTGAGATTTATGGAATATGGATATGATTCTAGTATAGGTGGGATAGTAGCTACTTGCAAACAAAATCTAATGAAAATCTGTTTCTTGATTCGCACTATCTAATGAAAGAGTAAAAATAAATTATCTGTTATCTGTAAGAACGATTGGTCGGTCAGTTGGAGAGACATGCAGTTCAAACTTGAATATTAACAGAGGTTTGTATTGTTTGTTTTGTTTAATTAATAGTTGAATGTTCGTGGATTAGGAGCATCCACAAAAACTTAAATTACTTTTAACAAAGAAGAGAACATTTATTTGAGTGTCTGACTACGAAGCACAAGTTTGCCAGCTGTAATGACTACTTGAAACCGTCTTGTTTAAACATCAAAGAGATTTCCGCACATTGACAGGTAAACAAACAACCCAAAAATAGCTCATATTTCAGCGTTTTGTTCTCATTCAATTTTCTTTTGCATACAAGTTTTATTGTGGATTATATAGCTTCAATGATTGCTTTTTTACAATCAATGTATTCCAAAGCTCAGATAGGTGCCACTTTCGAGAATTTTTAGATTCAAATCACATACTAGACGGCGAAGAATTTAGTGACAAAAACTATGTCTGCTAAATATAAAAGAAAAATACTTAATAATATTGTATAGCCCTAAGTTGATATGGAATGTTTAATAAAGAATAGTTCTTGTTGGCATTTCGTGCCGAATTTCACTAATGCCACCACACATGTTAAAATGAGCTAAAACTCGAAAATGAAATAAAAGTTGAAAATTCTACAACCAGCTAAAATCTTACTAAAGCAAACACAGTTCATGGACAAAATACAAGAGGAAATCATTTTTGGCATTAAAGCACGTTGGTCGGTTCTTAGAGAGACAGCCTCTTAAGACATTAAAAATTACTGGAGTGTAAAGACCTTATATCATGGTCTGTGGGCAAGAGAAATAAATTTCTCAGTTTAGGTACAAAGCCATTATAGCATTTCTGCATGTGGTGAACCCTGTCACTGAAGACCCCAGCAATAAACTGCGTAAGGTAGAGTCTTTCGTTGCATCTTTTACAGCAAGATGTCAACAACTGTACCAGCCATCACAGAATTTTGCTGTTGACGAACACATGGTCAGATCGAGGAATAGGTTGGGGATTAGGCAGTTCATGAAAGATAAGCCTACTAAGTGGGGGATAAAATTGTGGGTTGCTGCAGACAGTTCTGAAGGTTATACTTGTGACTTTGAGATTTATACATGGAAGAAGTCCGGAGTTTCATCATTGCAGGTTGGGGTATGACATTATAACAAACGTACTTGCAGGGAGGTGAGTCCGGGATTGGACGCACCGAGGGTGGCTGGAAGTTTCCCGAACTTACCGAGCGAAGCGAGGTGAGTTCGGGAAACTTCCAGCCACCCGAGGTGCGTCCAATCCCGGACTCACCGAAGCTGCAAGTACGTTTGGTTTTTATCCCATACACCGAGCCATACCCACATTTGTAGCTCTTCGCGATATATTCGTCGTCTCGTCGATGTTTTGTGAACATTTTCCCGGCCAAAAAAATCACTGGGCAAGAAAATACTTCTTTATCTACGTCTACATTACCTTTACTGCATTTTTTTCTTTGGTTTTTCTTCAGTCTCAGTATGTTAGTCACCGAAAAAAGTTCTTTAAAGTTCAGGTTTATCGGCTAAATCTTGTCCGCCATATTTGTTATTGTTATTGCAACGTAAGCAGTTTAGCGGGTGAGTTCGGGCGAAAAGCAGGTGAGCTCGGCAAAAAGCAGGTGAGCTCGACGACAAGCTCACCTGCTCTAAACCAATCAGAAAGCCGCTTTTAACACAGGTATGGGATAAGGTGACTTGTCTAATAGATAAGTATTTTGATCAGGGTTACCATGTATATTTTGATAATTTTTACACTTCCCATCAGTTAGTTGGGGATTTATTCTTGTTGGGTACCCCTTCCATGGGCACAGTCAGGATAAGTAGGGTAGGATTCCCAAAGTGTCTGAAAGATGTAAAAGCCTGGGGAAAAACTCAGGCACATGGAGAGGTACGGTGGGTTAGGGAGTCAGAAGTGTTAACATTGCAATGGGTAGACAACAAGCCTGTTTCGGGGGTGGACTACTATTGACTCAGCCAATGACTCAGTTTTAGCTAAGAGAAAGGTAATGGTAAATCGGAAGTTTGCTAAGATAGATGTCCCCCAGCCTAAGGGCATACGTAGGTACAGTCAATACATGAATGCTGTGGATAGGACTGATCAGTTACTTGCATGCCACAATATTTGTATAAAATGTTATAGGTGGTGGAAAGTTTTATTTTATCATTTGGTAGATATGGCAATTATTAATAGTTTTATACTTTTCCAGAAATATCGGTCGGAGCATGAGGACATTGTGGAGTTGCAGCATAAGAACACTTATAGTATGGTAGATTATAGGGAGGCTATAGTTAGGCAAATTTGTAAATTACCAGACTAGGATGTCCCTATTAGGAGAAATTGTTTTGTTTGTTATAAGAAAGGCAGGGGAAAGATGTGTAACTACCTATTGCAAAGCTCCACAATGCAACAGTAGGTATTTACACATTTCCAGTCCTGAATATAATTGTTTTCTTGCATGGCATAGTGAAACATATATGTACAGATAGTTTCCTTTGCATGTAACTTTCCTTGTTTGAAAATCGTAATATTTAAAAAACAACAAAAAGTAAAACAAAAAATAAGAAAAGGACACAAAAAATAAGAAAGATAAACAAATTAGTAAATTTTAGTGTGTCTATTTATCATCTTAGAAGTAATTCACCTATCAATGTAAATCCTGTGGGGGGGGGGAAGGGGGGGGGGAGGCCGCAACCTCGTACCCAGGGCTTCTGCGCTTATTGCTCTCAGAAGCCCTGGGATAATCCAAACCGGAACACCATAGAACAGTGGTGCCCCCGGAAGCGGAAGTAAACAGTAGATCCAGCTAAAAACGCTGACTGGGCATATTTTTACGCAAGGAGTGAGACTGGATTATTTGTTGCAATTTAGTATATTTGGACTTGTAAAGACGTCTTAAACTGCTTCTCGCGTGGCTTTTGGAATTTAAAGTCAGGAATGATCAATTTAGAGATACAATTATGCGTAAAATAAGCCCTTTGGCGTGCAAAAGAACATCTTATACCGCGACAAAAGCAGCAATACGTGGTCAGCGATATACAGGGGCTATTCAATAAAGTGTAAATATTTATACTCGAGTAAAACCTTGGCCATTTTAAGGTCAACAAACTAGAAATCCTACTGGTAATATGGCTGACTGTCGTTTATCTTGGATTTGACGGTTTTGAACAAGATATTGCAAGGTCGATTTAATCATAAATACACAAGATTACTGTAAACATGCATCTACTTGAAGAATGTACTTATTTGGAAAACCTTTTTGGCAAATCTTGAGAATAATGGCTTTGGGAATGTTGAAAATTAAAAACTGTCAGATAGCTGCATGGACAGCATGGTTAGAAGCATACATGTCATCGGATGAAACCCCAACTTTTGTTAACTGCCAAC